ACAGACTTGATCGTTAATCCTAGACCACCTCTGCTTGCACAACCGGCCAAGATATGTCTTTGCTCCGTCCCCCTTCTTGTTGGTTGGCACAAGCCCTTGTAGTAGTAAGTCTTTCCTCCGGCCGGATCGGATGTTAGAGTCAATTCCATTGTAGGTTTGACCATTAAGTGAATGCAAATATATGTAGAATTTGAATCAATGACTTAAGAGTTTTATTTTGCCTATCGTAGTTACCTTGATGTGATAAATAGTCCAACTTTCTTGAAAGATATCAGATCTTGAAATTCCTGCTCATATACATACTAATATGATCGCTACCAGGTCATCCCACTACACACCATCAAGCAACCACTACTGAAGATATCAACTCAATTCTCTCGTTCGAATGGAGATATAGATAAAAGAAACAAAACTATATAAAATATCGTAAGAGAAGAAGATTTTTATTTCAGCTTAAATAAGTAAGACTTGACTCTTTAAAAAATTCCGATCAACAACTTGGAGGGATGGCTGAGTGGCTTAAGTCATTGGTTTGCTAAATCGACATACAAGAAGATTGTATCATGGGTTCGAATCCCATTCCCTCCGGTGCGGGAGTGAAACAGGCAGGCGAAATGAGAAGAGCACTACTTAGTGACTAGGAGCAGGGAGCCCGTTGCGCGTAGAGGGTGGATGTAGCCAAGTGGATCAAGGCAGTGGATTGTGAATCCACCATGCGTGGGTTCAGTTCCCATCGTTCGCCCATAATGGATAGTCACAAACAAAAAATATATAATAGGAAGGGAGACCGGGCACCCATAACGGGTCAGAGAAGGAAGTCAAGACTAGAAAAGACCCCGAAGAACGCCTCTAGATACCTCTTCCAATACCAGGAAAAACAAGCAAGTAGTTCCTCTACGGACCTGGAGGTACTCCTTTAGCTGCACTTTCAAGGGATAACTGCAATGGTTCCCTCCACACATCGAAAGTATGAACGATGCACAGAGTCATACCAGTGATTTGGAGGAAATCTTCAAAAAGTATTTAGCGCCCATTTTGGCCAACTCTCTATCATCTTTCTTTGGCTGAGTGGCATGTATTTCCATGGTGCTCGTTTTTCCAATTATGAAGCATGTCTGAGCGATCCTACTCACATTGAACCTAGTCCTCAGGTGTTTTGGCCAATAGTGGGCCAAGAAATCCTGAATGGAGATGTGGGCGGAGGCATCCGAGGAATACAAATAACCTCTGGCTTTTTTTCATATTTGGCGAGCATCTGGAATAACTAGTGAATTACAACTTTATTGTACTGCAATTGGTGCATAGGTCTTCGCAGCCTTAATGCTTTTTGCTGGTTGGTTCCATTATCACAAAGCAGCTCCAAAATTGGCTTGGTTCCAAGATGTAGAATCTACGTTGAATCATCATTTAGCAGGGCTACTAGGACTTGGGTCCCTTTCTTGGGCAGGACAATCCAATACATGTATATTTACCGATTAACCAATTTCTAAATGGTGGAGTAGATCCTAAAGAAATACCACTTGCTCATGAATTCTCTTGAATCGGGATCTTTTGGCTCTACTTTATCCAAAATTTTCTAAAGGAGCAGCCCCGCTACGTGCCTTGAATTGGTCAAAATACTCGGAATTTTTCCGTCCCGTCTTCGATCTAGAAATCTTGGACAATTGTTTTGATGAGCTGTCACTAAACTAAAAAAAAAGAGAGAAGAGAAAGAACTGGGAATGGGCGCCTGGTTGCTTGCTTACCAAGCCATCCTGGCAAGCTCCTCCAGTTCGATTATTATTCTTGACTTGACTTTGTATAAAAACTACTCACTATCAAAATGAAAGACGATCGATTATCTACCCAAGAAGATAGAGAGTCTCACATACGAGAAAAGGTCACAAATCGATTTGAACCAAGTAACATTGCAAAGGCATAATGATAGTAGGGTCGGGATATCCCCGCCCTCCGAACCGGACATGAAGGTCTCCCCTCATCCGGCTCTCCGCAGGGGAATCTCCACTCACTGCTTCCCCTAATATCCTCTGAACAAGCTCTCTACGTGTTGTCCAACCAGTTGAGGGCTTGAGTTGTAGTAGTCTTGAATCCTCTTCCAGAAAGCACCAGCTTTCTGCTCGTTGCTGACCACAGGTTCCTTACTTGTGCCAAGCACCAATAAGGATTTTATCCTCTTTTACAGACCATTTTCTTCTCTCCCTCACGGTAGACTCATCTGGACATTGGGTATTGAATCAAGAAGGTTCGGGTGAATCAAGATCAAAAGAACATTGGGTATTGAGAAGGTTAACAAAACCAGGATTGATATCATGGTGGGAAAATGCTCTGTGTCAATTTACTAGCGACACATAGCCTTAAGTAAGCGAAGGTTAACTAAGTGACATAACTACCCAACATTTAAAATCAATCCAATCAAAAGGGGTTAGGAAGATAGAAAGCAATTTACTTGCATTTAAAACAAAGCTCATCTATCAAAGTACGATATTCTGCGTCACTCTAGTAGCAACACAAAGACTTAAGTTTAGTAACATGTCAACATTTAAAACATATCCAATCGGAGGGGTTAGGAAGGTAGAAAGCAACTCACTATCATTTATTACTCAAAAGTTTTAGTTACTCTTAGTTTTAGTTACTCAAAAGTTTTAGTTAATTAAAATTTTAGTTACTTAAAATTTTAGTCACAGTTTTAGTATCAGTGATAAAAAGTTTTAGCAAAGCATCTAGGAATTTGTAAGCTTTTAGTTTTAGTCCAACAAATTTTTAGTAACAATTTTAGTATCAGTGATATAAACTTTTAGCAAAACATCTAGGAATTTGTAAGCAGTGTACCTTATAGAACAATGTCAACATCAGAAACTCGCGTGTATACCTTTGAAGCTGTTCCTGAGCATAGAAGAAGGAAGTCGGTCAGCAGTTTTTTAAAAAAATGCAGAAAATACTATCAGAACCAGAAGGAAAGAAACTAACCAGCCAACTGCAAGGACCACCATACCTATTAAAACCAATAGAGTACCCATTAGACAAACACCCAACACGAAGCCTTTTCTAACCCCTGATTTCTTCTTACCAAGCTCAAACACTGTATTCTCCACCTTCACGAGCTTCTGCTCAATCTCAAAACCTTTATCCTTCACCAGCCTAAGTTGTCTCTGAATGTCGCTCAATTCCTCCATCACAGCCACATTAAACCATTTCCACACATGGCAGTCCCCATCATTGACATTGTCACACATGAAGTACCTTCTCCCTGGATCTTTTGAGGTGTGAGACGTGGCAACTACAGGGTCAGCACCACAGTAGCATGTCTTCGGGATTCCATCATCACACTCGGGTTGAGGTGGGTACTGAACCGCCTCCGCAAGGTTGTAGTTACTCTAAGCATCAGCTTCTGCTTGAAGAAGACATGCAAACCCTATATCATAATCCTCTGATGAAGAAGGTTGGCTATAGCTATAGTCTTGTCCCATGTTTCCTTAACCTGAAAGACATTGACAAGGTAACTATTATACTTCAAAGGACATTGACAACATTATAAAGAATCACAGAGAGGCACACAGTCACACATTCAACAGTCTGATCACATATAAAGCTCAACATTTTCTCGAAAACAATCTCAGAGACAAAACAATCCCGAAATCAATCTAATAAAAGCAAAACCGAATCATTTTAAACCCTAACTACAACCGAAAGATCTCCTAATCGATTGAATCCAAAAACTTTATCAAACCGTAACAACAAACTCAAATATCCCAAAAAAAAATTCAAACCCAAATCGTTTTAACCTAAATACAAATCGACAGCTCCCGAAATCGATCTAAAAGCCAAAACCGAACCTTAAACGCGAGGAAAACAACATGCAACCTAATCTACTGCGCTAAATCAACAAAAGAAGCCTTCGACTTACTCGATTTTCTCGGGAGAGTATATCGTCTCTTGAGTCGCCCAGAGGTTTTTTTGTTTTCTTTCGATTCGCGAAGGAGGATTTTTTTTCAACACGGCATTACATATCTCCCCCCAGCCAATTACAAACGGCCACGTCACTAAGGACTTGATCCTTGCAGACCTTATCTACGGACTGCTCCTCAGAGGACTGGGCTTCAAAATTAATATTTTAACTCGACTAGCATGGGTTATCGCACTAAGGATTCAGGATTTTGGCCCGTTGTGGCTGCTCTTAGGAGAATCATGCGATCCCGTTAAGCTTTTTTTATTTGTTTAGTTACTTGGTATTTTTTTTAACACAGTTACTAGGTGTTTATCCGTAAAATATAAAGAAAGAATTATATATTATGTGTACACTATTATAATTTTTGAATAATAGTTAGAATTTTAAAATTTTAATTTTTAATTTCAAATAGTTGAATAATCAAAATTTCAGTATATATTTTTAGAAGATCTGTAAGATTTAATATAGTTGAACAACATAAAACTTAGTCATTACAATCTTTCTTTTACAGAAAAGTAATATTATAATTAATTTAGATTATTGGTTGTAGAATTTTTTTTTTATAGTTTATTTTAACACATTAGTTATTTTTATTTTATTTGATTAATTATTTTAAAATTATTTTATTTTATTTTTACGGATCAAATCGGATATTCGGTTAAAAATCTAAAGATTTTCGAAGGGTGATAACGGATCGAATCGAATAATTGATAATTCGGACTAAACGAATTACGAATACCTCCAAATACCTGGATATTTGATCCCCGTGCCCATTCACATAAATATATTATATCTTACATATTTAATTATTTTAAATTATAATATGACTGATATTTGTAAATACTCAAAACTGTATTCTATTTATTTAGATATTTATTCACTTTTTTGTCTAATTCGCATGTAAGAGATATATAATGGGACCAATCTTGTATTTATCGGTTTGGTTCGATTTGCTTTGGTTCAGATAATTTTATTTACCCATGACACATCCCTTCATACGTTCTAACTTCGCCGTCTTCTATTTGCTTCCGTCTCTTTTCAACGGCCATCTTCAATGCGTCATGGAAGAGGAGCAAACGCCGTCGTATCATCCAAAACCTCCCCATTCCCACACCTCTCCACCATCCTCATCACCGCTTCCCTCTCCAAAACCCTATCCCAATCCGGCCCCCAATCCCTAAACCCAAACACCCTCCCCTCAATCTCCCCCCCAATCGTCCTCCAAATCCTCCGCCGAAACTCCTTACACCCCTCAAAGAAACTAACCTTCTTCAAATGGTGCCGCCACAATTACAAACACTCCACGTCAGCTTACTCCCACATCCTCCGCACCCTCTGCCGATCCAACCTCCTCTCCGAAATCCCCGATCTGTTGAACTCGATGAGAGAAGACGCCGTTAGTCTCGACCAAACGACGTCGAAGATTCTGTTAGATTCTCTAATTGCTTCCGGTAAGTATGACTCAGCGTTGGGAGTTTTGGATTACATGGAGGAGTCAGGAGGAGGTTGCTTAAACCCTAGCGTCTACGATTCCGTCGTCATCGCTCTTGTTAAGAAGAAGGAGATGGATCTCGCGGTTTCGATCTTCTTTAAGCTTCTAGAAGGTTCTTCGAATAGTTATGTGAATAGTTATGTTCCTGGAAACGTTGCTGTTAACGAACTCATGGTTGGTTTAAGGAGAGGTGAGATGAAGGAAGAGTTTAAAACGGTTTTCGAGAAGTTAAAAGGAGTGGAACGGTACCGTTTTGATAATTACGGTTATAACATATGTATCCATGGGTTTGGGACTTGGGGTGATTTGGAAACCGCGTTTAGTTTGTTTAGAGAGATGGAAAATGATGCTGATATATGCACTTATAATAGTTTGATTCATGTGTTGTGTTTATCTGGGAGAGTGGGAGATGCGTTGGCTGTGTGGGAGGAGCTTAAAGTCTCTGGTCACGAGCCTGATGACGTGACGTATCGTGTGTTGATACAAGGGTGTTGTAAGTCTTGTAGGATGGGTGATGCGATGAGGGTGTTTGGGGAGATGGAGTATGATGGGTTTGTTGGTGATACTGTTTTGTATAACTCTGTTTTGGATGGGTTGTTTAAGGCGAGGAGGGTTGGTGAAGGTTGTGAGTTGTTTGAGAAGATGGTGAAGGAAGGGGTGAGAGCTTCTTGTTGGACGTATAATATTTTGATTGATGGGTTGTTTAGGAACGGGAGGGGTGAAGCTGGGTTTACTCTGTTTTGTGATTTGAAGAAGAAGAAGGGTCAGTTTGTGGATGGGATTACTTTTAGTATTGTTGTGTTGCAGCTTTGTAGGGAAGGGAAGGTGGATGCGGCGGTGAAGTTGGTGGAGGAGATGGAAGATAGAGGCTTTACGGTTGATTTGGTTACGATTAGTTCGCTTTTGATTGGGTTTCATAGACAAGGGAGGTGGGATTGGAAAGAGAAGTTGATGAAGCATGTAAGGGAAGGGAACTTGGTTCCTAATGTTCTGAGATGGAACGCTGGAGTGGAGGCTTCGTTGAAACGTCCACAGAGTAAAGATAAAGATTACACACCAATGTTTCCGAGTAAAGGAAGCTTCGTGGATATCATGAGCATGGTGAATCCAAAAGAAGAGGAAGCATCATCACCTTTGGAAGAAGATGATCCTTGGTCTTCATCTCCATACATGGACCAATTAGCCCACAAGGTTAACCAACCTAAGCCATTGTTTGCTCTAGCCAGAGGGCAAAGAGTTGAAGCTAAACCGGATTCTTTCGATGTAGACATGATGAACACTTTTCTATCTATCTACCTCTCCAAAGGTGATCTCAGTTTAGCTTGTAAATTGTTTGAGATATTCAACGACATGGGCGTGACCGATCTCACAAGCTACACATACAACTCAATGATGAGCTCCTTCGTCAAAAAGGGTTACTACAAAACCGCCCGTGGAGTCCTCGACCAAATGGGCGACAACTTCTGCGCAGCGGACATCGCAACATACAATGTAATAATCCAAGGCTTGGGAAAAATGGGAAGAGCAGACTTAGCAAGCGCGGTTCTCGACAGACTAACCGAGCAAGGAGGGTATCTAGACATCGTAATGTACAACACGTTGATCAACGCGCTAGGGAAAGCAAATAGACTAGACGAAGCAACAAGACTGTTTGATCACATGAAGAGCAATGGGATAAACCCTGACGTGGTGAGTTACAACACGATGATCGAAGTGAATAGTAAAGCAGGGAGGTTAAAAGAAGCATACAAGTACTTGAAACTGATGCTAGACGCAAACTGTTTGCCTAATCACGTTACTGATACAATCCTGGATTATCTTGGAAAAGAGATGGAGAAAGCAAGATTCAAGAAAGCTTCTTTTGTTCGGACCAAACCAAATAATAATGATCCTTCATCTTAGAGTTTTCTTGTAGTGTTTTCAATACAGAACAATAAAAAAAAAAGTATTAACAAAAAGATGATTCGGTCAGAAGAGGCCTAAGAGAATAGAGAAGGCAAGAGCCATGAGCCAGACAATGTGGATCAAAAGCAGAGCTTGTCCTGGAACAGACAAACCAACGCCATTACCAACATCACAAGCACCTGGTTTTGAGACACGAACACCGTGGCATAAAGCATCTGCACAACCGCACCAGTAAGTAACGTTGTCTTCGCCGCAAACCGGATCAGCCCTGAAACATTTAACCGGACAAGAAACCGGTTTAGCCGTTGCGTTGCAGAATTGGCTGTTGATCTTCTCCGAAGGTAGTTGAATCTCTCCCTCCTTGATCATCTCCGTCGATGAAACCAGAAGTAGGTTCAGAAGGATCAGAGAGAGGACAAGAGACGGCGAAAACGTCGACATTGCCGAGAATTTCGCCGGAGAATCTGTCAGAAACTTCTAATCAAAACCCTAAACTCAGAATGTTTTTTTTGTTTATAACTTTTTTGGGTTTTTTTTCTAAAGAAGGTTGATAAACTCTGGAAGAAGGAACGTTGTTTCCTCTCTCTTTTATGAAAGGAAACAACGATAGGAATATTTCAAAAACAGAAAGGAAAGAATTTGTTTACATTTATTTATCATAGAAAAAGTAAATCTAAATTTAAAGGGGAAGAAAAAAGAGAGAGAGGGACAGAGGAACCGTTAATTTAACGGTTACCAACAAAAAAAAACAGCGCGCGTGCTTATGCTTTTACGAGTTTGCTCCAACGTGCGGACTCAACTTTACACAAGGAGAACAGAACTTCGTGTCGTTGTTGTTTTAAACTACATGGTGTCTACAGAAACGCGTAAGAGCAATGAATGATTGAAATCAAAATTTGATTTTCCAGCTATAAGAAAATGTAGTCAATCATACTGGGAAAGGTAATGTAAGGGATAAAGTAAACCGTGTGAGAATCTCTTCGATATATTTTCTTTTTAAAGTTAATTATGACTAGTATAATTGTATCTATCTATACTACTAAAACTGAAATTTTTTTTCAACAAATTATTACATTAATTACCATTCTATTTTTCACTTAATTTAACAATTTTATTAATTATATTACCATAATAACAATAGATCACATCATTTATTACATTACCATAATAATAGTACATATTTTAATTTAATAGGTAATCAATATTAAATTTGTGCCAATTATTTTAAAAAATCGTGTATTATATATAGAGATGGCAATTGGGCTTTCCCGTCCCGTTCTGTCCCGTACCGCAGCGGGCTCATCGTCGAGCAGGTCACGGCGGGCCTGTCCCGCGCGGGCTGCGATCTTTTAAATGGCTACCCAATCCCGTACCGCATAATTTATAAGCCTTCGCGGGCCGTCCCGCGGGACGTCTCCTTCAGCTTCCTTCATGAATATTAAAGTAGAAGAGTTGTGTAAAGAAGTTGAAGAAGAGCTGAACAACATCGATCGCAACAACATCCAATGTGATCACTCGCTGGTTTAATGGTCTTGAAGTAAGTGAGAGCCATTTGGACAGTAAAATTTAACTCTTTCAAGAATATTCCTTGTTTGATTCTTTGTAAAGCAACGTCTCTTCATAGCAAAAATAATTTAATACTAATGTTTCTTCTTCTCCTTCAACCAAGCTGTTGAACTTAGAGTGTAAAGACAAAATTCTGCAGTAACCCAAACTCTCATTTCGAGCCGTTTAAAGAACAAACAGTAGCTCGTCAACAAGCAGTAACTCTTTAAAAACATCATTGTAACAAAATTTAATTTTTTTAAAAAAAACACCACTTGACAATACTGAAAACAAAATTCATCAACTTAAACAAGAAAATTTCACACAGTAATAAGGCAATTTATAGTACTGAAAACAAAACCAAACATAAATGAGGACTTATGGGTGCGGGTCTTCAAAATCCCGCGGGTTAACCTGTCCCGCATTCGGCCCGTCCCGTTTTTAGCCCGTCCCGCATTCGGCCCATCCCATTTTGAACATGTCCCGCGAGGCCCACAATTTTGCGGGCTTATCAAATGAAGGCCCAATCACGCCCCGCAGCAAGCCTTTACGGGCCAGGCCCGCGGTCCAGGTCTTTGATTGCCATCCCTAATTATATATGGTTAAAAGTTCAGTTTAATATGTTTTACTAAAAAAAATTATCTTAGTTTCAATCTATGAAAACCTAAGTTACCAAACATATACTCCACTCATTTCATTTTATCTTTCGTTTTAGATTTTTGCACATAGATTAAAACATTTAATTTTACATATTTTCAAGATAAAAACAATATTATCTGTACACGTAACCATTTTCAACCAATAGAAAAATATAATAACATATAAAGTTGATAAATTTTTCATTGAAATTATAAAATCACATTTATTGTAAAACAATTTTTTATTCTACAATGACAAGTAAATTGAAATGGAAGGAGTAGTTCATATACATAATTTATGTGAACAAAATAATAATTTAAATTAAAATAATAAAACATATTACATTTATTTTCACTTATTTATTTAAATTATTCTCTAGCAAAACTTACTATTAATCTCTAACCATAATATCTTCAAATCAATATTTACAATAAAATTTGATAGATTTATTTAAAATATAACATAAAATTTTTAAATATTATATATTCATGTATATTATTATTTCAGTTCATATATAATATAAATTATAACTTTTTAATAAAAGATATAAAGTTATTTTTCAAATGTATGTTAAATAACTTGATGATTAATATTATTCATACATATATATTTGAATTATAAAAATATAATAATTCAATTAATTTAATATTTCCTCAAAAATAAACATAACAGAAAATTTATTTAACTTATAAAAACTTTTAAAAAATATTTATTTATTTTACTAAACTGAAGTAAATTTTATTTGACATAAAATATTTTATTTTGGAAAGACAGATTTATAAATATACATAAACATAATAATTGGTATTTTAATTTATAAATAACTACATCAAATGGTTAATGTAATTAAAATTACTAACTAATGAATATGTTATATTATTTTGACTGATTTAGTAACTAACTACAATATAAAAACCACCAAATTACATACAATAAAAATCTGTCGATTTATCATAATATTATATATTACAAATAAAAAAAACATGCATTTAGATGTATATCTGTGCAACCATTACATTCTTGTGATATGAAGAATTTCATATGTTTATTTTATTAAAATAAATTTTCGTGTGAATGTATGGATCAAACTCTAGTAACACCTATAGTTTATAGCAATTGACATATATATATATATATATATATATATATATATATATATATATATATATATATATATGTAAACTATGCAATTTTGTAAGAATAAACTAATAAAAGTATAAAATAAAAAATATTTATTTACCAAATACTAATGAAATGAGTCGTCCAGTCCGTCTTTGGTGAGCATCAGTCGGCTTATCCATTTTGTCAGCGATATGTTCCTAGGTTTAATTGGCTATGTTTGCAAAGAAAATAAATTATCTATATTAATGTCGTTGCATCGGATATCTAAAACCTATAAGAAAGTGTAAAATTCTTTATAAATTATTTGAGAAGCATTACAACATTCTAGTTATGACATGTGTCATCACTATAATATTTTTTAAGTTCTTAGAAAACAAAATTTATACCTCTGAACATATATTAAGCTTCTCAATAAACTAAAAATTAAATTCATTATTAATGTATAATAATATTTATTTTTTCCTTAAATAAATGGTACAGAGTTACCTAATATGGTTAAAATATATATGAAAATTAAAAGTTTTGAATAATAACGATTTGATAACAATTTATACATCATCTATTGTTTTTGTTTAATTTTATCTTATTAAAATAAATTAAATAATTACACTAACCATATAATAAAAATTTAGATTTTTATATATATGATATATTTTGAATTTTTTAAAAGACTAGAAATTATAAAAACTGTCAAAATTTCCATATTGAAAATTTGCTGATCAATTATTAAAATTTGTTGTTATAACAAAATACAAATAATCATAAACCAAATCAATAGCAAACTTTATTTAATAGATATATACATATATATATATTCAATATTATTTCAAGAAAAATATATACCATATTAAATATTTAAATTTCAAAATTTGTATTAAACAAGTATTCACAACTCAATAATTTATTTTCAAAATTTGCATTGAATTTTTAAAAAATGATTATAACTTATTTAATGGATATTCAAATTAAAATATATATCTTTTTGGTATCGTCTAAATGAAATATATACCATATAAAAATACGTAAATATATAAATTTCAAAAATTGTATTGAAATATTGAGATCTTAATAGATCTTTTGTCTCATGGTAGCCTGCTTCAGTCTATTTTAGTTTCAAAATTTCCATTCAATTTTAAAAAATGATTTTAAATTAATAAAAATAATAAAATTCTCTCTTTCAGAATATTTTATCAGTTATTTATTATTTTATAAAAAGAGATAAATGATCATAAAACTATTTATAGATATCCATATTAAAAATATTAATATCATTAAAATTTAATTATGTACCCATATAAAATAAATATAAGTTATTGTTGGGATTTCTTTACCATTTAATGATTATAAATAAAGTAGAGTAATTGTTTTAATTTATGTATCTGCGTCAATTTAATTATATAATAGTAACAAAATTTCAATTATTTGAAATATAAAATATATATATATTAGAACACAAATAAGTAATAATGTGTAAAATTAATTTGTATATCAATGATCATTCCGCATAAGGTGCATAATATCTTAACCTACTTCTTTTTTTTTAGTCAAAACCTACTTCTGTACTTTATTTAAAAGGTGATTTGTCATGTGATATCACCACATTCATTTTGAATGAAAAAATGACATAATATACTAACAAAGATGACATGGTTTGAAACTAATTGTCACATTGACATTTACATTAATTTTTGTTTTATATTTTTGGTAATTATTTTTTAAATATGGTAATAACGCATAATTCATCACTAATCTGACAATAAATGTACTATAAAAGTAAAAATGAAATATAATTATTTTACTGTTTTTCAAATAAGAATTCAAATCTTATAATTTTCTATTACTAAAACAAATCTTCAAAAATTATGCAGTTTAAAAAAGTATATATATCTCATTACCATTATTTCTTTTGAAGTATCTATAAATTTTGGAAATATTATTTAGTTTTATGTTTAATAATTATATACCTAACATAATTTTATCTTAATTTTATAAAATTAAATAAAAATATAGCCAAGATTATAATTTTAAATATATACATATATTATTAAATATAAATTTAAATAAAATAATAATTATTTTTTCTTAATTTTATCTATATTAAATTTAAATTTAAATTTTTAGTATTGTTAGAAAAT